TGTGGGGACTTGAGGGGACAGGGGACATGAGGATGGATGTTGGGGACACGGGGATGGGGCAGGGGTGTGGTGGGGACATGGGGATGGAGGGACATGACGCAAGGATGGGGACATGGATGTCAGGGACTTGGGGACAGGGATGGAAGTTGGGGGCATATTGGGAACCTGGGGACAGGGGGACGCGGATGTTGAGGACAAGCAGATGGGGACATTGTGGGGACACAGTGGGGACACAGGGGCATGGTGCAGACATGGAGATGGGGTTGGGGACATGGGACAGAGACACGTTGGGGACACAGGGATGTGAGGGCATGGGGTTGGGTGTTGGGGACACGGTGAGGGCATGGGGATGTGGGTGGGGACATGGGGCAGGGACACAGTGACATGGAGACAGTGGGGACGTGGGGATGGGTGTTGGGGACATGATGAGGACACGGGGACGGTGACCAGGGCAGTGGGGACATGCAGTTCTCAGCCCTGATCTCACCTCTGTCCCTGTCCCCGTGTGTGTCCCCCTGTCCCTATGTGTGTGTCCCTGTATCCTGTGTCCCCATGCATGTCCCCGTGTTCCCTATCCCCTCATGTGTCCCCACATGAGTGTCCTCACGTGTGTCCCCACATGCCCCATGTCCCCATTTGTGTCTGCCATGTGTCCTTATGTCCCTCCATGCATGTCCCCATGCATGTCCCCATGCATGTCCCTATGCATGTCCTATGCATGTCCCTGTGTCCCCATGTGCCCATGCATGTCCCCATCCATGTCCCTGTGTTCCATGTCCCTGTGCATGTCCTATGCATGTCCCCACGGTGTGCATCCCCATGCGTGTCCCCATGTGTGTCCCCATGTGCCCATGCATGTCCCTGTGCATGTCCCTCTGTCCTGTGTCCCCATGTGTGTCCCCATATTTGTCCCCATGTGCCCCACGCATGTCCCCGGGGGTGCATGTCCCTGTGTCCTGTGTCCCCATGTATGTCCCCATGCATGTCTCCATGCGTGTCCCCATGTGCCCCATGCATGTCCCTGTGCATGTCCCCGTCTGTCCTGTGTTCATGTGCATGTCCCCATGGCCTATATCCCCATGTATGTCCCTGTGTGTGTCCCCATGTGCCCCACGCATGTCCCTGTGCATGTCCCTCTGTCCCGTGTCTGTGTGCATGTCCCCATGCATGTCCCCACATGCCCCACGCATGTCCCTGTGCATGTCCCTCTCTCCTGTGTCCCCATGCATGTCCCCATGCATGTCCCCACGTGCCCCATGCATGTCCCTGTGCGTGTCCCTGTGTCCTGTGTCCCCATGCATGTCCCTATGTGTGTCCCCATGTGCCTCATGCATGTCCCTGTGCGTGTCCCTGTGTCCTGTGTCCCCATGCGTGTCCCCATGTGTGTCCCCATGTGTCCCACACATGTCCCCGTGTGTGTCCCTGTGTCCTGTGTCCCTGTGTGTGTCCCCATGTGTGTCCCCATGTGCCCCTTGCATGTCCCCGTGCATGTCCCCGTATGTGCCCCTATGCATGTCCCCATGTGCCTATATCGTATGCGTGTCCCCGTGCACCGTGTCCCCGTGCCGTGCCCT